ATTACATGCTGTTCTGTTGTAAGCAAAGATTCTGATAAACCAGCAGATTCTAGTTTAATTTAAATACATGATTAGTGTGTCCGTTATCACTCAAATTTCAAAACATTACTAGTAAGAAGAAAGTTGGGATTTAATTTTAAAATAGTTTCCCCTCGTATACAAGTGTGCAGTGTCAATGTTGGACTTGTCTTTGTTTAACTCTGGCTGGCAGGACCAGGTTTCCCCCTTCTGGTCAACCCCACTTTATTCTGTTTGCTAACAGCTTTAGAATTTGGTTTCCAAACTTCCTTAAACTTGCTCAGAAGAAGTTTTGAATTTTGCTTAAAAAAATCCCTATCCTTCTCCCCAAAATAATTTATTTTCGATGTCTTAGTGGTTCCATAATATTCAACAGGTACCGTGTTCCTTGTAAGCTGTGCATTTGTGTAGCTGCTCAGGAGAAATTCAGATGTTGCTCAGATGATTAGCAGAGCACCCACAGCTTGATTTTTGTGTTTCTGTTGGCATTGTGCATTCACACATGCCTTGGTGCACATAGAAAATTCATTCCCCACATGGATGGAAAATATTAGAGGGAACATTGACAGGTTCCCTTGTTCTGGGTTGAGTTATCATAGAGAAGCCCCCAAAACTTCAAACAAAGGAAACCAAACTTGGTTATTTTTGAGCTGTCAAAACTTAGTCTCAAAACAATCTAGTGACCCATTGGAAAAGGCGCTACCATCTGATATCAACAAGCTACCATACTTGTTGCTCCCAGACAAAAGTTGTTACAAGAGTCATTATTACATCAGCTTTGTTTATAATATCTAACTTCTGTACTTGATGCCAAGTTTTTTTAAATTGAGCATTAGTGTGAATTGATATATATTGTGGCTGTTTCTCCAAACTTTATTCTGCTATTCTTAAGGTAAGTATCAGTCTTTAGAAACTTTCTATTGATTTACCTAAATATCTTCTGTTCCATAAAGAATAAGACTAAATCTTTCAAAATTTCTCCTGGAAACGGATATAATATTAGTTCTTTTATAATGTTGCATTCTCTCCAAAATAAATTTAAATAAGTAATAAATTTAATGGTGAACAGTTAGGTACAGTACTCCAAAGGTAGGTCTGCTGTATAGTTGAGTGTGTTTTCTTTGCTATGTAATTTACCTTACTAATTACAACCCATGCTCAAGTATTATTTTCATAGTATTTTGAGGTACACGTTCAGAATATTTTGAATATTTCACTTTGCAATCTTAGTATTTCAAGTTGAAACTGATATCTTTTGTTTGTGTATTTTAGGTTCAACAGAATAGTCCTTCTCCTACTGCATTAGCTTTTGGGGACCACCCTGTTACACAGCCAAAACAGTTATCATTTAAAATCACTCAGGTAAACACTTTTGAGTAGGGCCTTCTCATGTATTTCTAGAATACTTGAAAATATTGATGAAAGACCATTTATTTCCATGCTTGATAACTGTTTCAATACCAGTCCTTAAAGAATTTACAGACTTCACAAGCATTTGCAGTGGTCTGCAAAAATATTTCAGTTCTTGATAAATTGAGAGTTGCTAGTAATTTTTCTTTTTATGCTTGTATTACTTCCAGCACTTCAGGAACCCCTATAGTTAGATGAATGCTTCATAACTTTTGCTCAAGATTCAGACTGTCATGTGATCTTAAAAGTGTTGGTTTCTAGCTCTATCAATATTTAATATAGCAACCACCGTGACAGTGAAATATAGTTAGATACAACATGGGTTTTCAGAGCTAAAAGTCAAAGTTCTTTATCAATAAATATGGCAATTCTTTTTATACTCTGGAGCATTCGCTTTGCTGTACCACTGTTTCATTTAACACATCCAGCCCATTCCTCTGACATTTGTCTTTCACAGTTGATCAGAGAGCCCAACAGACTTGCAGGGCCCCTGGGCAAGCAGGGGGGTGGGTGGCTTTGTGTTCCCAGAATGGGCAGGGCTGGGACAGCCAGTCCTCAGTGGTGCCCAGTAACGATGTTAAAATGCGATTATCTGGCTAATCGTATAGTCAATACAAAATGTACTATACGATTAGTTGATAAGCGCGCTGTGCAGAGCCACAGCGGGGGTAGCTCCAGGAGCTGACTCCAGCCAGCAGTGAGCAGTTCTGGCTTGTGCAGGCTCCAAAATAACCTGTGCTGCAGCTCTGCATAGGTCCCAGCTCACGCTGAGTCCAGCAGCCCCTGTTTGTGGAAGACAGCCCTGCCCACTGCAAACAGGGGCTGGTGCCAAACCAGGGCTGGCCACCGCAAACAGAGACTGCTCTGGCACCAGCCCCTGTTCATGGCAGCCAGGGCTGACTATGGACAGGGTCTGCTGCCTGAGCAGCCCCTGCCCATGGCTAGCCCTGGCTGCCATGTACAGGGGCTGCTTCTTAGCAGCATCCCTTCCCCTCTGCCTCTGATAGAGGCAGCAGCGGGGGCAGGCAGCACCCCAAAGATGATGGTGGGGGGAACTGGCTTTTAAGCACTGGCTCCTGTCCCCCCAGCAAAGGGGGGGAGCTGCAGAGAGCACGGGGTGAGCAGGAACTTGTACATTTCAAAGCAGAAGCACCCACAGTGGGAATGGCACGAGCATGGATTGCTTCAGTCCCCACTTGCGCCTTTTACCCGCTTTGCCTCTGCCCCTCCATGGAGACGGTGCTGGGGGGAACTGGCTTTAAGCACTGGTTCCTGCTCCCCTCCCCTTGCTGCCTCTCTCTGATAGAGGCAGCAAGCGGGGGAAGCGACTAGTTGAGTCGCTACTCAACTATCCAGTAAGCATTTGCTTATGGAATAGTCGACTAGTCGCTTACATTGCTTGTGCCCAGAGCACAGTATGCTCCTCCCGCTTCCCCCCTACCCTTCCAGTAGGCCTAAGAACCACTGGAGTGTTTCGTGTGGCACTCAGGTGGTGATTTAGAGGGTTTGGGGCTCCAGGCTGCTGCTGCTGCAAGAGCAGTGACAGTAGCAGTGGTGGGGAGCCCTGGATCCTTTTGAATCGTTGAGACCCAGGGCAAATGCCCCCTTTGCCCCACTTCCTATCAGCAGTCCTTCAGTTGATGACTTTAAAACTTCCTTAGAATAATATCACTTTGGACAGAGACTATTTATCACAATACTAGTAGACTGTTTCTTTTAAGCCATGTTGTGTTCATCACTTACTGGAAAAGAAAATTAATTGCTCTTTAGTAGATGGGCTTTCAATTAATGAAGGACTTTATCAGTTAAAGTGGTTCTTCCAAACTCTTCATTCAACACAGCCTGTTAATGGACAAAGACAATCATAATCATTTAAAGTAATTAACAACAGTGTATACAAAAATGAAGAAGAATAATGTAGTACAGCTGCAAAGAATGGAATTAAATATTTGAACATCTTTTTGTTCAGACTGAGCTCACGATGCTGAAATTAGCTGCACTGGAAAGTAATAAAAATCAAGATTTGGAAAAGAAAGAAGGTCGTATAGACGATTTGCTCAGGGTAAGTGTAAAAGACCTAGTAAAAGATGTCTATTTAAAATATCAATGACACTCTATAGAAAATATCTATAGTACCATATTAAGTTATAAAGCTGAAATATTTTTAACTTTTAATATAAACATAATAGAAATTACCAGACTTGCAAAGATGATGATAATCTATAAAATCTGCATAAATACTTCTGAGAAGTAGCATACTGTGCAGTAAATAAGGGCACGAATCTTTCTCTGCTTCAGTATTTAAAAGATATATGTCATTGTCACATCTAACTATTGAATATGGGAATAGACTTCTTGAGACTACAGACAGGAGTGATATTGTATATAGCAGTGTGTTTAGTTTAATTTATTTAGCTTTTTACAGGTCCTTATATATTTTGCATGACACATTTCTTACTTTCATTATAAAGTACAGCAGTCCTCAGTAGGACAATTTATTAGTACAGTACAACTCCAATGGTCCGGCATCTGACGGTCCGGCACTCCTGATGGTCCGGCACCATCAGGAACCCGGAAGTGCTCCGGGCAGCTGGACCATTGGAGCTGCTCTGCCCCTAGCTTCCCCTATTCAGCCTCTGCTAAAACTGACCAGCAGCGGCTGAATAGGAGATGCCTGGGGCAGAGCAGCTGGAGTGCTGCTGGGTTGGTCCAGTAGCGCCGGCCCTTGGCGCTGCGAGATCAACCCAGCAGCACCCCAGCTGCTTTGCCCCAGGCATCCCCAAGTCAGCCGCTGCTGAAACTGACCAGTGGCTGACTCCAGGGAGCCCGAGGCAGAGCTGCTCTGCCCCTAGCTTCCCCTATTCAGCCTCTGCTAAAACTGACCAGCAGCGGCTGAATAGGAGATGCCTGGGGCAGAGCAGCTGGAGTGCTGCTGGGTTGGTCCAGTAGCGCCGGCCCTTGGCGCTGCGAGATCAACCCAGCAGCACCCCAGCTGCTTTGCCCCAGGCATCCCCAAGTCAGCCGCTGCTGAAACTGACCAGTGGCTATCTCCGGGAAGCCCGAGGGCAGAGCTGCTCTGCCCTGGGCTTCCCGGAGTCAGCCGCTGGTCAGTTTCAGGAGCGGCTGGCTTGGGGAGGGCCGGGGG